GTTAAAGAAAGTCTCATCTAATAGACTTTGCCCAGTCTGTAGATCATAATTGGAATGTGGTTAAGAGGTAATCTGGAGAGCTAGTGTTGAAGGATTTCATCGTGGTTACTGACAGTACCTTGCCTTGGGCAATTTGCTTATTTCACACTTTTGAATGTGCCTTGATTTCAGGGGAAACTGGTCTTGGAAAGTCCACGTTAATGGACACCCTGTTCAACACCAGGTTCGAAGGTGACCCAGCAGCTCACAATCAGCCAGGAGTCCACATAAAGTCCAACAACTATGAACTACAAGAAAGTAATGTTCGCCTGAAGCTGTCCATCGTAAACAGTGTGGGATTTGGAGACCAAATTAACAAGGAAGAAAGGTCAGAGACAACTTTCACACATAATTGTAATTTCTGTGCCGTGATCTGCTTAATGGAATCTTTGTCTACATTGCCTGTTGTTATTTCAGTTCCTCGTTGTGGCAGGAGCTGAGTCAGTGTTGAAGATTAGATAAGTGTATTGAAAGAACTATTTGACAGGGTATGAAGTGCAAGTCCCACTTCAAGACCACAAACCCTTAGCTTAGGCTGAAAGAGAGTGTAGTACTGTGGGACTGCTGAATTGTCAGAAGGGTTTTGAATGTGAGTTCAAGTGAGAGTCTGTTCTGGTAGACTTAAAAGGTCAGTGTTAGTTTACATATTGGGCTAGTGGGGTTGATCTCAAAATGTGCAGATAATAAAATCAAGTGTAGTCAATAATTCAAAGAACTGAATGTGGATAAAATATTGAAATGAGATGAAAACTGTTGGTTTGAATTCTGTGTCAATAAATGGGAGAAGTTACATTTTAGAAAATAGAACAGGAGTGAAGATTGTTCCGTGAGTAAGTTGAGATTTAGAATTCAGATTCATGTGAAGCACCTGAAATGATGAACAAACTGATGAAATAGTGAATTTTATGATGAGGGATATAATGATGAATCTATGTGAAACCTTAACAAGTCCACAGTTACTGAATTGTGGACGTTTTAGGTTCATATTATGGGACGATTTGAAAGGGTCCAGTGCAGATTCTCTGCAATACTACCTAGGCAGAGGAGCATAACTATGTGGAAATACTACTTTTTTAAAAAAAAATCAATAGTTTTCATTAGATAGGGCAGAATAAGGAGGTGGTTTGATACAGTTGTTTGAAATGCAAAAGGGGAGGTAGAAATTTCTTAATTTACTCCTGGGATGTTGGTATCGCTGGCTAGGCCAATGTTTACTTGCAATCCCTAATTGCCCAGAGGGCAGTTAGGAGTCAACTATATTGTTGTGACTCCAGACTTGCATGTAGGCCAGGCCAGGTAAAGATCAAAGTTTCCTTCCCTAAAAGACATGAATGAACTAAATGTGTTTTTCAGACAATTGACAGTGGTTTTGTGATTATCATTGGACTCTCTTTTAATTCCAGTTTATTTTATTGAATCCAAATTTCACCATCTGCCATGGTGGGATTTGAATCTAGTCACCAGAACATTACCATCTGGGTAGGTAGTTTAGCAATAATACCACTAGGCCATTACTGACAACTAAAGTGCTTGAAAGTGGGTTAAGATGTCCCAAGGAGACACAAGGTAGCAAACAAAAACAAGCTCTTCAAAATATGTTGTTGTCCCTTCAGTGATACTGGATTAAAATCCTGGAATTCTCTGATGCCGTTGTGGTCTACCTGCAGCAAATGGACTACAGCAGTTCAAGAAAGCTGTTCACCACCTCAAGGACAACTAGGGTTGAGCAATAAATGCTGGTCAAGGCAGTGATGCCCACTTCCACTGTTTTTTAAACAAAAACGGGATTAATCTCCATACAGACCCCAGTCAATGCTTAGTTCATCGCATCCAGGCAACAATGAGGATGGTGCAAGTAGGGCAGATTCCTGATCCTTACAAGTGTTTGCTAACCAACAAAGCCAAATTGTAAAACTGGTCACATTCACTGAATGGGTTAAAATATTATGTTGTGATGGAAACAGATGATGCAGTTTTAATTTACAACATGGTTGAGTTCAATTAAGCATTTTGACAGGCTTGCCAAATTTAAGTTGAATACCGGCACATGGTAATTCAATTTTACAGTGCTTAACTCTATCGAGATACCCAAGGGCTCATCGTTTCCCAAATTGCTTTGCAAGATCAGTGCGGTTTTTTTTCATATTGATGGTAATTAGCAGAAGAAGCCAAGTTACACATTTAAAATGAGACCTGAGAGTGATGGAGATCCCATTGCAGCTGTGACTAAGCAATATCGTGAATTATTGAAACTAAGTGATTGTTAGAATATTTGCGGCCAGTGCTCAGCTCTTGATCTGGAGCCTGCATAACATCTTGGTCCTACAGTTTTAATTCTTCAGTGTTAGACTCCTCGCTGCCAAATGGAGATCTGCTTAGAAAGGGCAAATAGAACAATGAGATCAAAAAGGCAAGTTTAAAGGAATAAATTATGGTAGAAGATTGGACAATCTGACACTTACCGTCCACGATGTAATGATAGCTTGGTGCTGATGTTACTGGCCCACCAGTCCAGAGACCTGGCCTGGGAATAAGAGAGAGAGATGGAATGATCAAATACACCAAGGCAACTCATCAGTAAACAAGGCCATAAAACTGTCAGATTGATGTGCTTGGTTCCAAAAAAGAGTCAGACTGGGCTCAAAGCGCTAACACTCTTTGTCTCCACAGATGCAGTCAGAGCTGCTGAGCTTCTCCAGCACTTTGTTTTTATTTTAGATTGTCACAATAGTCTAGCTGACTGATTCTACTGCCAGTCAGAGTCATCCAGCGCAGAAAAGGCCCTTCAGCTCATTGAGTCAGCACTGACAATAACTACCACTAAAGGTGCGTTAATCCCACTTACCTACACACAAAATTTTATGATATTTCAAGTGCTTATCCAAATAGTTTTAAAAATATTTAGGTTGCCAAAACATTTTTATTCTGGGACCAAAGTATTCCTGGCTATGCCAGCATTCATAACTTCTCCCTGGACAATCAGAGAAGAGCAAAGAGTTGTCTGTGTAGCTGTGGGTCTTGAGGCACATGTAGGCCAGACTAGGTAAAGATGACATATTTCCTTTTGTGACAGGAGACAGTGGTTGCATGGTTGGCTGGCCTTTTAGTCCAGGATTTTACTGAATTCAAACTTCACGATCTGCTAAAGTTAGGTTGGAACATGTCACCAGAACATTAGCCTGGGTTCTAGATTACAAGTGATGTAGCTATTACACCAGCACCCCTTCACCCCCAACATTTCTGTGCTTATGTTCATGATTCCACATGGGGCTCTTGGTGCCATCTTTGGAGGGAAACCTGCCACCTTTACTAGGTCTGATCTACGTGACTCCAGTCCTGCACCAACATGATTGAGTCGAACTTACCTCTGAAGAACATAATTGCATTGACCGCCTACAAACTGGGGAGGCAATGGCCTAGCGGTATTATCGCTGGACTGTTAACTAGAGACCAAGATAAAGTTCTGGTTTCAAATCTCGCCATGGCAGATGGTAGAAATTGAATTTAATAAATATCTGGAATTCGGAATCTAGTGATGACCATGAATCCGTTGCCCATTGTCAGGAAGAACCCATCTGGTTCACTAATATCCTATAGGGAAGGAAACAGCCGTCCTTACCTGCTCTGGCCTACGTGTAATTCCAGATCCACAGCAATGTGGTTGACTCTTAACTGTCCTCTGGGCAATCACAGATGGGCAATAAATGCTGCCTAAAGGTGACGTCTTCATCCAAAAATAATCATTGTGGGAGTACCTTCATTACACAGACTGCTGTGGTTCTGGAAGCTCCACCTTCCTAAGGTCAAGTAGGAGTGGGGCAATAAGTGCCAGTACAGCTAGCGACAGCCCATATCTACAGAATTTCCCTTTTTTAAAAGGGAAAGTTCAGTGAAGTATATAAAATGAGAAATAGTACGGGAAGGAAATGCCAGATTATTACTGTAGAGTAACTAGAGAATAAAAACAATGCAATAGTAAATTTAGAACACACTATCAGCTTGTTCAGTTATACTTGGTGTATAACATGTTTAACATAATTTACCAGACACATTAATGAAGGTGACGACATTAGAGCAATTTCCAGTACAATTGGGTATTGTGAGAGTTGTAGAATCATAGAGGCCGTTCGGCCTGTTGAGCCTGTACCACCAAAACAATGCTAAATCTACAGTAGTCCTACTTTCGCAGCACCTGGCCCCATAGCCTTGAACATTGTGACCTTTTGACTGCTGGAGGGCTGGAGAAGTGAACTTGCTTACGTCTGATGGTCTCTTCCAATCAAAGGTTTCCTTGCGCATCACATGACAAAATCTTGTCAAGAGCGTGAGAAAGTCCAGAGCAATCATCTGTCCCTCGCTCCAGGAAAGCGGGCTCAATTCCTCGCTGATAATTGAGTTGCTTTTGGCAGCCTGGAGTATGGATCCTTTGGGAATGCTCGAATTAAATTGTGCCCACCTCGGTCTCCATCATGAAGGAGCCTTGAAAGGAAATGGAATGCTGGCCTATATGTTCCTGACTTGTGCCAGTCCAACTCTCTTGTTGACTGAAACATGACAGAGAGGAGGTAGCCCTCATGCAGCCTCCACCCCTTCTGGTACGCCACTGTTTACTGCCTTTCTGTTGGGTCCATCTGTTTCTTGTAAGTCAGCAGCTAATGGAATTGTCCCCTTTTTGTGCTCTATCTGAATGAAAGCAAGTTTAAAACTTGTAACCTCTTGTTCTGCAGCTACAAGTCTATCGTAGAGTTTATAGATGCTCAATTTGAGGCCTACCTGCAGGAAGAGCTGAAGATCAAGCGCACGCTGCACAACTACCACGACAGCCGGATCCATGTGTGCCTGTACTTCATCGCCCCCACTGGCCACTCTTTAAAGTCTCTCGATTTGGTGACCATGAAAAAATTGGACAGCAAGGTGAGGGGGAGTAATCTCGTCATGTTTGCAGTATAACATACCACAGACCTATAATGACATAATACCAGAATGGTTGCAGCTGTAGTGTCTGGACTAACCTTTTTTTTGTTTTGAAGAAGAGTGTATCAGTTGCAATTCTCCAGTATTCTGGCATTAGCCCTGAGTCAAAGGAAGGTTGTAAAACCAAGCCAGCAGTTCTGCAATTTCCACACTCTGTCCCTTCGCAATCATTTCCATCACCAGAAGCTAATAGTGCAATTGCATTCCCAAGTCTTCAATCTATTCCGATGATTGGTCCAAATATCTCACTCTGCAAATATGTTACGTGTGGGATATGAATGCAAGTTCTGCCTGATTGTCTTTTGTCCCAACACCTGGATTTAACTCTTGTTCCCTTTGAATAATTTTCTTGATAATCTAAAGACTCTCTCTCTCTCTGAGAACCAGCCCCCTCCTGATGCTATTTCAGTCATGCTCAATCTTTTTAGACCATTAGATTCCATGCAAACAGCAGGTTATAAATAGTGATGTTGGATACAATGCATTCTACCAAAATGCCAGAGACCCTAGCAAGTTAAGCTGAGACTTGACTTTGCACTTGCCCCTCAATCCTCTTTAGGGGAAACGGTGGTGTAGAGGTAGCGTCACCGCCCAGTAATTCAGAACCCCAGGCTCATGTTCTGGGAATATGGATTCAAATCCCAACCATGGTGGATAATGAAATTTCCATTTGATTTAAACAAAACTAAATTAAGAGAATACCTAATGCTGACCATGTCAAAACCCATCTGGTTCACTAATGTTCTTTAGGGAAGGATATCCAACACCCTGGTCTGGCCTATATGTAATTTCAGATCCACAGCAATGTGGTTGACTTTTAACTGCCCTCTGAAGTGAAGTGAAGTCAAGTCAAGTCAGTTAGGAAAGAGCAATAAATGCTTGCCTGGCCAATGATGCTCCAATCCTGTGAACCAATATTTTAAAACAAAAAGCAACTTGTGGATTTGATCACTACACCAGGACTTAGTGCGACAGTTATGATCATATGGTCTGGCAGCATCTGTGAAGGAGAAAACAGAGTTAATGTTTCTGGTCTGGTGAACTGGTTCTGAGGAAGAGTCACTGGACCTGAAATGTTAACTCTGTTTCTCCTTCACAGGTGCTGCCAGACCTGCTGAGCCTTTCTAGCAACTTTGTTTTTGTTCCTGATTTACATCATCCGCAGTTCTTTTGGGTTTTTTTTAAAGCCTTGATCGTATGCTTAATTGAACTATGACGCTGCTTAAGTAACAAAGGCCCTGACTACTATTCAAACCAATCTGCCCTTTCTGAGCAACTGGATGCTTTATTCCCTTTTTCCTCTGCCCATATCCAAAATGATCAGTCGGCTGACCTGCTCTTGTACATTTTGGGGATTGGTGGTTAAGTTGTGTTGGTGGAGATCTTGGATAAAGTTCCATTGGGGCGTGTTGCCTATTGAGAAAGAGGCTCAAAGACAAGATTAAATAAGAAAAATCTGGGTGGGGAGAGATGACTCCTATGCCTGACAGTTTATCATTCATGTTACTTAGAAAATGTTTGAAGTCATACTAGTGCTTCCTGTTTGCTCCACTTTGTTCGTTAGGCTGATGGTCAATAATCTACATTCCACACGGATGTGCAAACAATAGCAATTTGATTTATATCCTGATTTCTCACTTCTTTCCTCTTGGAGTTATTTTGCCTTTCCAAAGAATGTGAGTGTCTGTTGTAATGTAAAAGATCACAAGCTGATTAACCAGACTGTTTAGAATGTGGAAATGAAAGCCAATTAAAGCTGGCCTGTACTGTTGACTTTAAACTCTTAACCTCATTATTTTGCCTTGAATCTGCTGTTGTGAAATCCATAGAATCCCTTTTTTTTCCCTTTTTCCAAAATTAGATGTTTGTTTTTGAGGTGATGTATAGGGAATGGAATACCACGGATAATTCCATGCATCCAGCAAATTGTCACTGTCACACAGGGAATGCAGGTTAGACAGCTTAGGGCTGTGAGCTTGGTGTCCCATCTCTTCGACCGGTACTTCCTGGAAGTGTAAGATTGCACAAACACTCCCAACGATTCCAGCTTTTACTTTACACCCACAATCAGCAGTAAGCATGTCCTCAAATATATAGGGTCATACCTAGCTCCTACTTTGAGACTTGTTTGACACTGCTTGCAATATTAGCCCACTTTTTCTCTGTTCCTTGGAGTGAATGTGTTTTCTGGCTCAGTGTGGAGTTGTAGCTTTTGCTGGTTTGGCTGGATGCAGAACAGTTTCTCTCCGCTGTTTTAGGAGACAATTCTACCCAAAGAACTAAAACTGGAAATTTTTATTTTGAAAATTAGTTTATTCAGATGAGTCCGGTTGTATCTTACCAACTGGACTATTGGAAATTGTTTTGGCACAGGAAGGTGTTGGGGAACTTTTTTTGTCAGACTCTCTGCCTGCTATTGAGCAGTAGATAACAAATTACCATTTCCATTAGCATTGAAGCAGGATCAGGCTGCCAACTTCATTTTCCTAACCACCAGGGCCTGGGGGCCAGCCTTGGAGGTGACACACCAGAGCCGATTTTATCTTGTTCGTTTGGAGGCCGATGTTATCTCAGACGTGAGCAATCTCGCTTTGGAGCGTCGTCAAAAACAAACATCTAATTTTGGAAAAAGGGAAAAAAAAAGGGATTCTATGGATTTCACAACAGCAGATTCAAGGCAAAATAATGAGGTTAAGAGTTTAAAGTCAACGGTACAGGCCAGCTTTAATTGGCTTTCATTTCCACATTCTAAACAGTCTGGTTAATGTCATACTAGTGACCAGGTTGTTTTTATCTCCTGCTGAGATAACAGGAATGAGAGTTTGACCTGTTTGAGGAATGCAAGCCTAAATCAAACGTTTAGTAGCTTCATCCAGAACTTTTTTTGCTTTTGCTCATTTTATTTAATCTGCCCACAGTAATCATTAACTGGTTAGTTATCAATGGACCTCTTAAGAGCATCATTCATAGGTGGACATGGCCTGTGTAAAATGTGTAATGCATAAGTCCTCCCAACTTTGGACTCTGTCTGTAGACAATTACATTCCTACTCTTCCCTCCTGCCTCATCCAGAACTAAGTCATAAGATTCTTCTTTGTTGGGTTAGGAAGAGCTTTTCAACTGTTCCCACACTTTGTACTGTTGTTCTGCTCTTTCGGTCTTGAACTGTGCAGAATTCCCTCTTTTCTTTCGGCTGCTCAGTGGCCTATAATACAAATTAAGAATTCTACTTTTAAACGACCTGCAAACACTTGCCTTCATTACTCAGTCCTTTGAATACAGGAGTTGGAAAGTCATGTTGAGGTTGTATAGGACATTGGTGCAGCCTCTTCTGGAGTACTATGTCCGGTTCTGGTCGTCCAGTTATAGGAAGGATATTATTAAGCTGGAGAGCGTTCAGAAGAGATTTACCAGGATGTTACCAGGTATGAAAGATTTGAGTTATAAAGGGTGGATAAGCTGGGAATTTGTTCACTGGAGCATAGGAGGTTGAGAGGCGACCTCATAGAAGTTTATAAAATAACAAGAGGTATAGATAGAGTTAATGGTAGTTGTCTTTTCCCAAGGATGGGGATTTTCAAGATGAAGGGGTGCATTTTTAAGGTGAGAGGAGAGCAATTTGAAAAAAAGACGAGAGGCGAACTTTTTACACACAGGGTGGTTAGTGTGTGGAATGAACTTCCAGAGGAAGTGGTGGATGCGGGTACAACGTTCAAAATCCATTTGGATAAGTACATGAATAAGAAATGTTTGGAGGGATATGGGCCAGGAACATGATGGTGAGACTAGTTTAGTTTGGGATTATGATTGGCATGGACTGGTTGGGACCGAAAGGTCTGTTTCCATGTTGTATGACTCTATTTCCATAGATTCTGGATTAGCACAGCCCCCAGGTGATCCTTAATTAAAAGCAAAGTGCAGTGGTTACTGGAGCGACTTGAAATAAAACCAAGTGCTGGAAAAATTCAGTGGAGCTGACAGCATGTGTGGAGAGTGGAGCAGAGTTTTAAGCCCAATGACTCCTCGAAACGAAAGAGTCCTAATTGATTTGAAATATTAACTTTGTTTCTATCTCCACAAATACTGCCAGATCTGCTGAGTTTCTCCAGCAGTCTGTTTATGTTTTGACTCCAGGTGACCCTGACATTCTATTGTGGTGGTTGATTCTTTTCTAAGTGCTACCTCACCCTCTTTCCTTTCTCTCATTGCCTGACAAATTATAACTGGGAAAGTTCAGCTCCCAGTGTGTAACAAACTGCCATGGAAACCCAAGCACCTAACTCCTTTCATTTATGGTACTGTTTGCCTTGTGTACATCTAACTTAAAGTAGTTGCCTCGTGTAAACCTATCTTCCGTATAAAATGTGTAAACCCATCCTTTCTGCCATGTCTTCAGGTCAACATCGTCCCAATCATTGCTAAAGCAGATTCCATCTCCAAGAATGAACTCCAGAAATTCAAGATCAAGATAATGAGTGAATTGGTGAGCAATGGAGTGCAGATTTATCAGTTCCCAACAGATGATGAGACAGTGGCAGAGATCAATGGAACGATGAATGTGAGTTTTCTGGAATGCTTTTTTTTTTAAATTTAAGACAGAACCAGAAATTGTCATCTGCCAATTTAATGCATTTGTACTATGGCTATAAGGTGTCTATTGAACACAGCGCGTACTCTAGCCCATAGGAAGAGGATCATTAGAATAGAAGTTGCTGTTCAAGTGAAAATTTGGCAAGGGACATATAAACTGGCATGCACCCAATCTAGCGCACTGCATTGTTTGACAAATTGTGGTAAAAGTTTGGCAGGCTTACTGCATGAAAAAGTGATTTTGCAGCCAACATCTTGTATAAGAATTGTCTAAGACCAAAACTGGGCAGAATTCCGAACGTGTATTACAAATGCTGTGAATTATTGCTTATGTTATGTTGCTGGCTTTCAATTTGTTTTAACTTGTGGCGTCAGAGATTGTGGCGAAGTTGGACATGTAGTGCGTCTTTAGTAACTTGAAAATGTCAGAGTCAGACATTTAGCATGGGGCTGGAATTGCTCACAAGACAAGAAAGGTCATGGCATATTTCCCGTCCTGGTAGACAGTAAGCCATGCAGGTTTTTAAGACATAAAAGCAAATGCTGCAGATACTGGAAGTGTGAAATTTAATGAAATGTGGAAAATTTGGAAATTATTCAACAGCCCAGGCGGCATCTACGGAGGGAGAAACAGAAATTTAAGTTTTCAGTCTGATGAACTTTTATCAGAACCTCTTTCCACAAGATGCTGCAACAAACTGCTGCACATTTCTGGCATATTCTGAATTTGCTTCACAATTGATGACCTTTTTTTTTTCTGGTTCCAAGTTTCATGTTTATCGTCTTTATCGTCTTTATCGTCTTTATCGTCTTTATCGTCTTCATCGTCTTCATTAATTTAAAAGTCTCAACTTGCCACGCTGGGACCTCCTGGGTTTCTCTTTTTTTTCTATTCATTTGTGGGATGGGGGCGTCGCTGGCTGGCCAGCATTTCTTGCCTATCCCTAGTTGCCCTTGACAAGGTGATGGTGAGCTGCCTTCTTGAACCGCTGCAGTCCTCCTGCTGTGGGTTGACCCACAATGCTATTAGGGAGGGAATTCCAGGATTTTGACCCAGAGACAGTGAAGGAACTTGTACCCCTTAATCCATACAGTTATTCAATTATCCGCTGCTTATTATGATCTGCAACCTCATAGCCCAACATATTCCTCCACTCAACCATTACCATCAACCCAAGGGAGCAGGAGGGCATGCCAGGAGCAGCACCAGGGTTGCCTACAAATGAGGTGTCATCCTGGTGAAGCTACCAAACAAGACTACTTGCGTACCAAACAGCATAAGCAGGAAGTGATAGACAGAGCTAAGCAATTGCATATCCAAAGGATCAGATCTAAGCTCTCCATTCCCTCCACATCCAGTCGTGAATGTTGGTGGGCAATTAAACAACTTGCCTCTATCAGGGGAGGAGGCTTCACAAATATCCCCATCCTCAATGAAGGGTGAGCCCAGTACCTCAGTGCAGAAAACAAGGCTGAAGGATTCGCAGCAGTATTCAGTTAGAAGTGCTAAGTGGATAATCTATCTCGGTCTCCTCAAGTGGTCTTCAGCATCACAGATACCAATCTTCAGCCAAATCAATTCACTCCACATGATATCAGGAAACAGTCAGAGGCACAGGATACAACAAAGGCTTATGGGCCCTGACAACATTCTAGCGATAGTACTGAAGACTTGTGCTCCAGAACTTGCTGCTCCCCTACCACCTCTCCGGTTACAACACTGGCGACTATCCAACAATATGGAAAATTGCCCAAGTATGTCCTGTACACACAAAATGCAGGACAGATCAAACCTGGCCAGTTAGCACCCCAACAATCTACTCTCAATCATCAGCAAAGTGAGGGAAGGTGTTACCAACAGTGCTATCAGCAGCACCTGCTCAGTGATGCCCAGTTTGGGTTCTGCCAGGACCACTCAGCTCCTGACTTCATTACAGCCTTGGTTCACACATGGACAAAAGAGCTGAATTCCAGAGGTGAGGTGAGAGTGACAGCCCTTGATATGAAGGCTACATTTGACTTGGTGGCTTTACAGAGCCCCACCAAAAGTGGATTCAGTGGGTATCAGGGGGCAAGCTCTCACTGGTTGGAGTCATACCTTACACATAGGAAGATGGTTGAAGTTGTTGGAGATCAGTCATCTCAGCTCCAGGACATCTCTGCAGGAGTTCCTGAGGGTAGTATCCTAAGCTATCTTCAGCTGCTTCATCAGTGACCTTTTTTCCATCATAAGGTCAGAAGGGGGATGTTGACCAATGAGTATGCAATCAACATTCAGCACTATTCACAACTTCTCAGATAATGAAGCTATCCATGTTCAAATGCAACAAGATCTGGACAATATCTAGGCTTGGGCTGACAAATGGCTGGTAACATTTGCACCACAAAAATGCCAGGCAATGGCCACCTCCAATAAGAAGTGATCTGACCACTGCCCCTTGACATTCAATGGTGTTAACATCACTTAGTTCCCCAATAGCAACATCCTGAGGACTACCATTGACCAGAAACTCAACTAGACTCACAACATAACTATCCGAGACAAGACAATTTGTTGGATTGGCACCACAACCTCTCCCTCTACTATTGAAGCTCAGTAGCAGCAGTGTGTACTACCTACAAGGTACACCTGACAAAATTCGCCACAAAATCACAGCCTTCCAAACCCACAGCCACTTCCAGCTTGAAGGACAATGGCAGTAGCTACATGAGGGTAGTAGGATCTGCAAGTTCCTCTCCAAGCCACTCACCATCCTCACTTAGAAATATCACTGTTCCTTCATCGTCATTGGATCAAAATCCAAGAATTCCCTCCCTAAGGGCATTGTGGATCAACTTGCGTGGACAGCAGCGATTGAAGAAGGCAGCTCACCACCACTACCACCTCAAGGGCACCTAGGGCTTGCTATAAATTCTGGCCCAGCCAGTGTTGCCCACATCCTGCGAATGAATAAAACAAGATTGCCCTGAGCTCTATACTTCAGATAAACATTTAAAAATGCAGACCAAGAGCAGAGGTTGGGCACGTAACCTGTTATGCTGCCAAATTATTGCTCTGACATCTTTTTCACAGGCCATTGTCGCTCTTTTTGATCTCAGACATTTCTTCACCTCTGTCCATTATTCCACACAGTGGACTGTATCTGAGACTTTTTGGAGCTGTATGACCCAGGTTCTTGACAATGAATATTTTTTCTCTCTGGACCATTGTCCTTTGACTCAGTAAAATTGTTCACCTGCCTTGTGCACGACCTAAAGTCCAGTAACTTGCGATTCCCCACAATGTTACAAAATTTACATGGCTGACAGAATTCTGATTGTTTCATAAGCGTTTCACGTTTGTTTGTTTAAGTTACAAGGTTTGCTCTTAATGGATAAAAATGTTGGTAGGAACACAGGAGAAACCTAGCAGGTCTGGCAGAAGCTCTGAAGAAGAGTCCTATCAGACTGAAAACTTTAAATCTGTTTCTCTCTCCACTGATGCTGCTAGACCTGAGGTTTCTCCAGCATTTTCTGTGTTTCAGATTTCCAGCATCCACAATATCCTGCATTTATTTTGAGGACAAAATGCTGTTTTTTTTGAACAGAAAATTGCAGCTAAAATGACATTTCTACAGGAAAGTCTCTTATTTAAACCATTGGGTTCAATTCTTCTGTGTTAACTTCCGGAACAGAACTGCATAATAGCACTTAATCTGCTGGGGCTATTAGTGAACATACTGGTATGTGGTAAGAAGTTATTGACAGGTAAAGGGTAAAGGTGCCATAATCCTACCAGACCTTAGGGCTGCTTTCTCCTTAGAGCAAGCGAGAGAAACTGCTGGTAACGGTTTAACCTGAGAGTCATCATGGCTCAAGCGAAGTTGAGGGGAGTCCTTCATGTAACTTCAGCTGGTGTGGAAATTGAACCCATGCAGTTGGCGTCACTCTGCATCACAAACCGGCCATCTGGCCAACTGAGCTAATCGACTCTGTCTTTGACAGCAGAGGAGTGGAAATCACTGCCAACTGTTGGATAAATGCTTATAGATACCACTGCCTGCTGTTTGCATAACCTGCCATTCAAAAGCAATACTCAGCTGTTAATTTAACCATCCACAGCCAGCAGGCTGAGGTGCCACCTCTGAAGCCATATCATCCAGGTCAGCGGCTTGTGCTTTGGGCATGGCGATGGGTAAAAGTAAATATGTGGCCATTGTAAAAACCACAGCTTCTTTTGGAGTGACCCATGAAGCAATAATAACTCCTAGCATTAAGATCAGGGAGAACCATAGATCAATAGCCCAGCAATTTTCTGGATGCCGTCTTTCTGCATATTTCAGGGACTTCGGTTTTCTGCCTGAGGTAAATCCAGTGTTTGCTCCTCATTGTTACCGCATTGGCAGTTGTGCACATGTTCGAGTTATGCAGTACAGTCTGTTCCGATATAACGCGATAGTTCCATTCTTGTGCGATCTCGCTTTAAGAAAATCGCACAATAACCGTGACATTTAAAGTGATGGGCACAGAATGTGTTATAGCCAATACAGGTAGGGAATGTTTGTGTTCTAGAAATAGCCTCCTATAATTCTTCAATCACATTAACACCAATTTGTGTTGAAGAAACATGTATTATATCAGACCCGACTGTACGCCAGCTGCGTGTTTTGCCCCAGGCCTTTGCAATTTGAACTGCAATCTTAATCTACCTTCTCCCTGCTTTGCATTTAAGAGTGGTGTTCATACCCCAATTCTCCAACCCACCCTCCCAGACACTGTGTATCTGTTACATTGCACATTAACTTTCCAATGTGATATTAAGAGAATGTAATATTTGCAACGTCGGTAGAGACTCCAATTGTTGTACATGATGCTTCTCCTTTTTGTTTCTCTTTTTAAGCTCTTTCTGTCTCTCTCTCATTCTGTCTCTTTCCTCTCTCTCCCCTCCAACCCACCCCTTCCCCCTCCATACAGTTTTCATATTCTGTTTGCCATCTCCATATCTTCATTGATGGTGACGCATGCTATGATTATTTAGAGAGGAACTTCTTGTATGGGAAAGATCTAATAAGGAAGCCCAAATCTGCTGCCATTTTAATTCCCTGTTTTGTGCCTGTTGTGTTTACTTTGTTTATGAACACTGACATTTCATTGGTGTACGAAGGATCACAGCTCTTCTTCGTCTGAAAGCACAGTGCATGACACTCCCTACTGTCACTGCAAAATCAGTCAAATGTGCCCTCGAGTGACAGAGTTGATGTGCGTGCCTGATGTTGGAGCTGGGCTCTAACCTTCATAATTGGGTGATTGTGTTCTTTACAATACCACATCAACGATGTGAGAATAATGCACTGTGCAAACTGGGTGCTGTGACTGCAGGATAAGGTGGTCACTATTATTGTTTAATTTCAGATTTTTTAAATTAGTTGTGTGCTGCAATTGTGAGGACTTGTGATTTTAAACCTTTAACATTGTGATACATCCACGTAAAACATCTCCAATGTAACAACAGCAATATTCCTACTTTGTGATTGTCCCATTCTGATAATTCCCTCATGCTTAATAACCACAAATCTTTGAAACAGGCTGGACAAGCTCTTTGTTCTTTTATTCATTCACTGGATGTGAGCATCATTGGCAGAACCTGCATTTGTTGCCCGTCCCCTATTTGTCCTTGAGTGTGCGGTGAGCCGTGTGGGATCCTTGATTTTATAAGCAGAAATATACAGTACAAAAACAAGGAAGTTATTCTAAATCTTTATCAAAAAATTGATTTGGCCTCTGTTGGAGTTTCGTCCACTTCTGGGCAGCACAAATGTGGGAAAAATACCATAGGAATCTTTATCAAAACCAGACCAGCAATGAAGGTCATCAGTTACTTGGAGCGAATACAGAATTGAAATTGCTCTGTTTTAAGGGCAAAAGGTCATTGTGAGCATGTCCATTAAATCTCCCAGTGATGAGGGATTTCAGTAGAGTAGGTGAGAAGAAGTTTCCATTGGCAGGAGAGTCAGTAACAAGGGTGAGATAAGAATTCTTTAATTCTGCAACATCTAATCTGGAAGGTACTGTCTGAAAGTGAAGGTGAAACAGATTCAAAAACCACTTCCAAAAGGAATTGGGTGCATATTAAAAAGGGAAAAATTGCAGGGCATTGAGGAAAAAGTGGGGCAGTGGGACTAATTGGATAACTCTTTTAAGCTTATTATGTAATATTGAAGCCTTCTATGTGAGTCCCACTACTCCACAGTCACAACATCAATTCAGTTGTTTCGCTCGGTTCCTGATATAGTCAATCATATGCTTTCTCTACATTAGACATAGAATATACAGATCCTTCAACCGAGTTTCTTTGGTTAGACACAGACTATTGTTTTATTATAAAAACCAAACTTATTCCACAAAGAAGCAGACTATTTTTAACGTGAAAATACTACACCGGCACATGCGCACAGAGGGGTAAAGGGGAAAATTGATTTCTTTCGGCAGGGATTTATTTTGGGGGCAAAACACTTTTTTTTTTTTTGGCCATTAATGATTCTTTCTTGAAGAAAAAAGAAAATATGTCATAGAATCCCTACAGTGTGGAAACAGGCCCTTCAGCCCAACAAGTCCAAACCGACCATCAGAGCACCCCCCCTGACCCATCCCGCTAATCTACACATCCCTGAACACTACAGGCAATATTTAGCATGGCCAATCCACCTAGCCTGCACATCTTTGGGCTGTGGGAGGAAACTGGAGCGCCCGGAGGAAACCCACGCAGCCACAGGGAGAATGTGCAAACTCCACACGCAGTCGCCTGAGGCTGGAATCAAACCCAGGTCCCTGGCGCAGTGAGGCAGCAGTGCTAACCACTGAGCCACTGTGCTGCCCTATCGTGTAGAATGTTCCGATGGCTGTCAGTCTGGTGCTCTGGCATATGTAGGTAGGTCACTAAACATATGCAGTTATCTCTGGGGTGAACTTCCCCAAAACAGTATAAATAGATCCTCCAGACACTCTTCAAGAGGCCAGAAATAACAGGGTGTAGAGCTGGATGAACACAGCAGGCCGAGCAGGAAAGCTGAAGTTTCGGGCCTAGACCCTTCATCAGAAATCTTCAAGAGGCCAGTCAGGTTTCATGATGGATTCACAGTAAGGCTGCACCAGAAAGGCAGAGTTGAGCTCAGCAATGTGTTCATCAGATTTGTATATTTTTTAAAAAAAAATACACTGATATCGCTGGCTGAACCTACATTTTATTGCATGTCCTTGATTGCCCTGGGGAAGATAGTGGTGAACTGTCTTTTTGAACTGCTGTAGTCCATGTGCTGTAGGTAGATTCACAATGCTGTTAGGGAGGGAATTCCTAGATTTTGACCCAGCAGCACTGAAGGAGCAGCAGTCCATATGGTGAGTGGCTTGGAGGGGAACTTGCAGGTGATGGTGTTCCATGTATTTGCTGCCCTTATCCTTCTAGGTGGAAGTGGCCCTGGATTTGGAAGGTTTTGCTTGAGGATCTTGGGTGAATTTCTGCAGTGCATCATGTAGGTAGTACACACTGCTGCTACTGAGCATTAGTGAAAGGAATGCATATTTCCCCAACTGAAAACAAACAGTCTACACTGCCTGCAAAACACCGTTGAAACAGAGCAGTCATTAAAACCCAGTAAGGTGACCTCCAGCATTTAGCTGGAGCCATGTGATTTCCCAGAACTGTCTATTTAATAATGTCCCATGTGTCCTTTCATTGATCGTTTGGGTACCTTCACCCAACTTGAAATAAATGAAGGTTTCCCTGCAATTTTTCAAAATGCCAGTCCTCAAAAATATTAAGTATGAAGCCTTCATAGAATTGTTTATAATACAGATTCTCTTGTTATCTGTGCAGTTAACACACTGTTATTGAATTATGTATTTCAGGCGCACTTACCATTTGCTGTAGTTGGAAGCACAGAGGAAATAAAGATTGGGAACAAGATGATGAAGGCACGCCAATACCCCTGGGGCACTGTCCAGGGTAAGCTGGTTTTATCAGATATGGCAAGATGATGGCTAATCGCCAACTTTTCTCTGCAACATTGCCTACAGTTGATCAATTGTTCTAGCCTTTTTGTTGCTAGACAGTGATAGATACTGCTAGCTTTCCTAAAGTATCCAGCACCATGCCATGCAATCAAAATCCCAGTCTTAAAAACAAGCGCCTCATGAACCTTTCTCCCTATTTTATTTTGTTCTTCCCCATCTCTGATGAAAGGAGAACATTTTCTTATTACTGACAGTGAAAGTGCTACTGTTTCATAACAATATGGCTCGGAAGTTATTACAGGAGGTATGCATGACATCCTTGGAAAGGGCCTGCCATTTGCAGACCTTTTTTTTAACTTCCAGATCTACCCACGCCATCTTTATTAACATTATGAATGTTATTTTATTGATTGTTTACCCAGCTGCAGTGTGATTCATGTAGTGCCTCTGAACGTCGTTTGCATTCCGGATGAGCGATTTAAAAGATTCCTTTTCATGTGGTGGTGTTCTCTCATGAGTGCCCCAAATGGATCACTGATGACTCCACCCCCCCACCCTCACCAATGTTTGGCACGTTGTCCAGGCAAAGTGTTTAGTTGTTTATTAATCGGTGTAAGTAAGTGCTGAGTAAGCTGGCCTCAGTCTGGCTGTAAAAGTGCTGCAGTTGTCCTCTTGTGTTCAGGCTAAATGTCCAGGATTTCTGCTCCAGATGGTTATCTGGCACCTCCTGTTGAAAGCTCCATAACCAGGCTCTGCTCGGAACTCCCACTCACTCTGTAGGCTTGCTTATAAAAAGTGAAGGCTTGGTATAGAGTCTCAATGGCACACACCAAATCCTGTCAAGGAGGCTGGAATTTCTTTTTTTAAAAAAAAAACTTTGAAGGAGAATGGATGGACATTAGCTTTTCAGTGTGTGCAATGGTGGCGTGTTATCATTGGAATGTAGACAGGTTTCTGAAAGAATTCTGAACACCTCATAAGAGCAGGCGGAGGTAATTCAGCCCTTCAAGCCTGCTTCACCGTTTAATACCGTCATGGCTGATCTCATCTTAGCCTCCACTCCACTTTCCTGCCAACTCTCCGTAACTCTTCAACCCATTGCTAATCAAAAATCTGTCCATCTCCTTTTTATATTTATTCAACATCACTGCATTCACCGTACTCTGGGATATTGAAACGCCCAGATTCACAACTCTTTTGAAGTAAGTAATTTCTTTGCATCTCTGTTTTAAATCTGCTGCCCTTCATCCTAAATCTGTGACCTCTCGTTCCAGATTGATCCACGAAAGGAAACATCCTTTCTAAGTCTGCTTTGTCAATCCCCTTTAACGTTTTACATACCTCAATTAGATCTCTCTTTGCTCTCTCCTAAACTTCAGAGAGCGTAGGGCTAAACTACTCCATCTCTTTTCATAAAATAAACCTCTCCTCAATCCAGTTAACCTCCTCTGAACTGCCTCCAATGCAACTACATCCCTCCCTTGGGGAGGGAATGTCCTAATGGTATTATTACTGGACTGTTAATCACACAGGTAATGTTATGTGGACTCCGGTCTCGACCCCACCATGGCAAATGGTGGAATTTGAATTTGCTCAAAATCTGGAATTAAGAGTCTAATGATGACCGTGGATCCATTGCCAGTTGTTGGAAAAACCCATCTGGTTCACTAATGTCCTCGAGGGAAGGAAACTACCATCCTTGCCTGGTCTGGTTTACGTGTGACTCCAGACCCACAGCATGAGGGATGGGCAATAAATGCTGGCCTAGCCAGCAATACCTACTGTCGTCCTGTGAATGAATTTAAGAAAAAAGGGGACCAAAATTATTGGCAGTACTCCAGGTGCAGTCTCGCTAATGCCTTGTACAGTTGTAGCAACACTTCCTTTCTTTTATACTCGATTCCTTTAGCAATAAATGCCAAAATTCCATTTACCTTTTTGCCTTCCTCCTTGCCTGCTGTGCCTGCATACTAGTTCTCTGGCGAGGAGAGCATATGAAAGTGAAGCAAGAGCCTCTTGTAAAAGTCCCCATTAGCATGAGCTAACATATGCTGCCTATCAATGTGTCACGCGAGCAGGATTTCAAGCCTGTTCTTCTCGTATGTCAGTCAGTAGTTCCACTTCTGGCGGTTTTTGCTTTGATTTCAGTTCCCTTTTTCTTTGTTCACCCACCATATGCCTTCAACTAGAAGTTCCAGGCCATAGCGTGTGGTTATGGTTGAGTAGCATTGCAAAGATGGTATCTGGGCATTAATGGCACACCCCACATCAGCCCAGCTGCAGTCCATTCTGTCCGGTGAACATGAAGTACTGCAGCGATGCAGTTACTTGAATTAATTGACATGTGACATCTACTTGGCTGCTGTTTTGGGTTTGCTCCATGGGAAATTATATCTATGTTTTCTTTTATCAATTTGATATATTTTGCCTTGGTTTTGTTTTCTGTGAAATCCTGAAACCTTAAATCACGTCGCAGTGGAGAATGAAAACCACTGCGACTTTGTGAAACTACGAGAGATGCTAATCCGAGTCAATATGGAGGATCTTCGTGAACAGACACATGCACGTCACTATGAGCTGTACCGGCGCTGCAAGCTGGAGGAGATGGGATTCAAGGACACAGATCCTGATAATAAACCCTTCAGGTACAGTGCACAGACATCAGGATAAATAAAAACTGAAAGAACTGCAGATGCTGGAGATCAGGACAAAAACAGAATGCTGGTAAAGCTCAACAGGTCTGGCAGCAGGTTTTAAGCTTTTAAGCTGTATCTCCACCTATGACTTACTCCTTAACCACCCCACTCCACATCTTCTGCACAAATAAAACATTTTCCTAGCTACAATCAGTTCTGAGGAAGGGTCACTGGTCCTGAACTGTTAACGTGATTTCTGTCCGCAGATGTTGCCAGACCTGCTGAGCTTTTCCAGCAATTTTTGTTTTTGTTTGAGGTTAGAGTATTTGTAATGTTGCCTGCACCAACAAGACTGCATGTAGTCACCCACGTGTACTACTTCAATGGAAAATACATTTATTGTTTGCTAGAAATTGAAATAGTTTTTGAAAATTGTTTGGTTACTGGATGTGGATATCTCTGGCGAGGCCAACGTTTGATGTCCATTGTTGCTAATTGTCCTGGTGAAGATGTTGGTGAGTTGCCACTTGAACCACTGCAGTCTTTGGGTTGTTGGGCACTTAGTGTTGTTAGGAAGGGAGTTCGTAGCAATGGCAAAAAAATGCAGTTTGAAGTCAGGATGTTCTTGGCTTGCAGGGCAGCCTGCAGATGGTGGTGTTCCCACCCTAAAAAATTATCCAGAAGGTCCAACAGCATTTGTGGAGAAAGAGGTGATGCTTGAGGTGGATGACCTTTCAGTAGACTAGAAGCTTTGGAGTTCTTCATTATTTTTAAGCAAGTACAGAACCAGGGAAAAGGTTGCAGTGGAAAATCCCTAATAAAGTGGAGAGCAGAAATGAACTTAATTTTTTTTGGAAGCAACAGATTTTCATAACCTGCTTATGTTAAATGACAAGCTAAATTACTCAGTTATTCAAGGGAAAAATAAATTCTAATGAATGCAAAGTGGGAGAAACCTCGAAGAACTACAGCTGTTTGGCAGGTGGAGCTGTGTATGTGTATCAACAAAGTAGACATTCTTCTCCCCAACCACGTGTGGGGGTAAAGCTAGCATTTTGACAGCGTTAATTGAGTTTTGCAAGCTGTTTGTGTCTGTTAAATGATAAACTCCCATTGCAGCTTGCAGGAAACATACGAGGCTAAGAGAAATGAGTTTCTCGGGGAGCTGCAGAAGAAAGAGGAAGAGATGAGACAGATGTTTGTAATGAGAGTGAAGGAGAAGGAATCAGAACTGAAAGAAGCAGAGAAGGAGGTAAAGTTCTTTGGATTTCTCAGAGTCCTTTTTTTCCTGAAGGAACTAGCAAAATCATCATCGTGGGAGCATCGGAGCGTTTCAGTTCACTTGTGGTTATACAATACACTTTGCACCGTTCACGTTCTCAGTGCTCCCAGTTAGTTACTTTTGAGATGTAGCCGCTTCTGATTTATGTTTCATCCTTCTCTCGTCTGTCTGTCTGTCTCTCTCTCTCTCTCAGCTGCATGATAAATTTGACCGTTTAAAGAAACTTCATCAGGATGAAAAGAAGAAGCTAGAAGATAAGAAAAAGAGCCTGGATGATGAAATCAATGCCTTTAAACAGAGAAAGACTGCAGCTGAATTGCTTCAGTCACAGGCCCAGCAGTCTGGGAGCCAGCAGACGCTGAAACGAGACAAGGAGCGGAAAAAGTAAGCATACGTTTTTGTTTTTTTTTTCCCAAACTTTTCCTACATTTTATCCCTCACTAGTTTTAATGCCCAGAATCCAGTCACCGCAATTTCTTATATTTTCAACATCATCTTGAGTAGGTAGCCGAACATATCATGAATCGGTTCTTGTGTCTCAACTTGAAAGGTAATGTCAATTTCTATGGTACTAACATGTACCATTATCCATAAAAGGCCTTTTTGGCCATATCATTTACACGTGTAAGATTTGCAGCTAAATGTTTATTCACATGCACAGCAAGACAGACCAGCTGTGTGACATTGCTGTCACACATTATAATAGGAACACTATTTGCACAGTTGCCTTGTTCTAAACATTTTGCATAGTTTTAATCCGGGCAGTGCATTTTAGAGCCTGGAGTGGAACCCTGATGATTATTAGGTAAGTTTTTGCTTTCTTAGCTGTTAGCTAGTGGAGCCAGTTCACCACTTGGTCAGCACAATTTACTGGGTGATCAGGGTAGGGTGGGGGCCAGGGTGGTGTGGTATGTACTATACTTTAATACATTTTACTCATTTAAACTCCTTGTGAAATTGGCTTTGCCAATAAGTGCTAGGTATTTGGGAATGTCCATCCGGTCATTGGTGACCCCTATTCCCCTAAATCCTGCTCCTTAATTTTAGACTGTGTCATCAAGCTCTATCCTGCCTTGTGGAAGAATCTAGTCTTGCAGCATCTACCCTGTCAGCACTCCCCTCACAAATCTTACTTATCTCAAAAAGGTCACCTAAATTCCAATTAGTTCAGACCTAATTTGTCTAATCTTTCTCGTAAGATGATCCTTTCATCCAAGGAATCATCCAGGTGAACCTTCGCTGAACTGCTTCCAACATCAGTATAACCCTCAATAAGTAATAAACGAAGAAAAAAAGCACGTTGTGATCCTTTTTTAGTTCACTGTTCTATCCCTCTGAAACATCATTTATTTAGTCCCTATGCTTTTTGACTCTCTCTTCAATTCATTCTTACCTATTGGTTTCTCTATCCCATTCTGTCATCGCTTTGATCGCTCCTTCCTGGTCCTCTCCATTTGCAGTGTTCTGCACACACTGAACTTGTCCCAGTTCCTTTCCTGCACTTGGGTACTGCATAACTTAATGGTGTCAGCAAGCCCTCTTAATGCCACTCCCAGTAAGACATTTATGGGTCAGCTAGCTGATTTAGATGGGCACAACTGAAATGTACTCTGTTCACAGAATCGTACAATATACAGCAGAGGAGGAGCCATCATCTCTTTTCAAGTGTGACTGACTCGGTTAGCTGTGCTTTCATGCTCTTGCTCTGTGCCTTTGCAATCTATCCAAATCGCTTTTGAAATCTATAATTGAATCTGTATCCACTGCCATATTAGGCAGTGCATTCCAAATCCTAACTGCTTATTCCATAAGAGTGTTTTTTCTCATGCCACTTCTTCAGATTTTGCCAATCTGTTCTCTGGTTATCCACTCTTCAGTCTATAGAACATATTTTTAAACTTTATGTACTCTATCTAAATCCTTCATAATTTTTAACATCTGTCAAATCTACTCCAAAGAGAACAGCCTAAACTGCTCCAGGCTATCCATGCAACTATAATTCCTCATCACTGGAATCACACTGGTAATTCTGTTCTGCGTTCTCTCCAAAGCCTTCATATCCTTCCGTAAGTATTGTGTCCAATGCAGGACACAATGTTCCACCTGTGTCTCAACTAGCGTTTCATACATGTTTCTCATAGCTTCCTCCCATTGTTAACCTGTCCTGCCTTCTCCGAAGCACCCTAATTTGAAACTGATCACTATGTCTTGCCATGTAATTTTTCTACTCCCTTAAGCAAAATAGTCCCATTGGGGATTGTGAAAATCGAGTTGTATTTGTGGAATTAATTGCATTGTAAGTTCCAACAGTGTCTTTGAAGACAGTAGAATCTGTTGCTCGGGACACGTACCATCCCACCCCCCATCAAAAATTGGATATTCCATATGAACGAAGCTTTAAATGAGCTAATAATTTAGGAGGGTATGTTTTGGAATTTTTGAAAGCAACTCTCAGGCTTTCCCTGTACCTGAACTCTGTTCATTGCTGACTGGGCAGCTGTAGTACCCATCAAGCACAGACCCCCAGACTAATACCTGACCTGTGCAGTGTGCAGGTAAAGAATGGTAAATGCACTGAGGAAAAATGTATTTCTTAGCTTTCACAAGGCTAATGAGTACAGTTGCAGCAAAATCTCATTTAATGATCTGTACAAAATAGTGTTTGTATGAAGAACAACATTTGGATAGTAAAGTCACTAGCATCTGCACAGCTACATCAACAGTTGCATTGGGATGCACGTTTTTATAGCTATGTACAGTGTGTTATTTGACAGCTAACTTTCTGAAAAGGATATCATATGACACTGTCCTTTGGTTTGTCAGCTAGCTTTGCTTTTGTGCAGCTAGTTTTGCATTGGGCAAGGAGGAGTGCAGATACAAGCTCTTGAGCCATTCAATTTGAGGAGGAGAGCTGCTCTGTTGGAATTGCTATGCAATTTCATCTTCTAATTTAAAAAGAAAACTGGTGTTCAGCATGCTTGTTATTCCTGGTTTCCTGTGTGTTTTTAGACTACTGTTCAGATGGGAGACTAGGAACAAAGCGGCATTGTGGAGTTATTCTTGATGTATTAAGTGGAAATGTTAGGAAAACCTCTTGATCAGTTATTCTGCGTGAGATCTGCACATAAATGTTTGCTGCAATCTAGATCTAAGCAGCAGTTTTAACAACCAAAGGATTGAGGCATCATCTCATTTCTGACTTCGATTCAGGTGCAGAGTTTCCCTATAAGAGCCTGTAGCAAAAGTGTATAAGCCTTTTTAAAAAAAAAAAAATGAAGTATGCTTCGTATTATAATAATTATGTTGCACTAGTGTTAATGCACCAGTTGAAGCCTCTGTGCTTCCACTAATTGTTATCCTTTTAAACACAATCACCATGGTTGGTAAGTATGGTATTGGGATCCTTTAGGATCACTGGGATCTTGTCACTTTTTTTTAGTGCAGGCCAAATTTGGGTACAAACCTCAGAGTTGAAAACAGCAAGCAAGTGTTGTGTATACGCATTTATCATTGTATCCGTTCATCCACATTAGCTTTTGCATGTGTACTGTTTTACAGTTAACGTGTTCACTGCATGCTGCATGAGACTCATGTTGTCTGGTAAGCTTGATTGATTACTAACCTCAACCACAGCAGTGGAATCGGTTATCACTGTTTACTGTGCATTCCATTACAATTATTTTCTGGTGGTTTGTGTACATTGGTAACAGACGTCCACACCAATAATTATTTTGAGGTGATTCTGACTTCTTTAATGTTAGGGTGACTGATTTCAGACACCTTGCTGTGTATCCTAACTTATTGGCATTGTTCTGGCATGGTGGCTAAGTGGTTAACTGCAGCTTCACAGTGCCAGGGGACCCGGGTTTGATTCCAGCCACTGGCGACTGTGCAGACTCCACACATTCTCCCTGTTTCTACGTGGTACTGTCATTTCCTCCTACAGTGCAAAGATGTGCAGGTTAGGTGGTTTGACCCTGCTGGAATTGCCCATAGTGTCAAGGGTTGTGCAGGCTAGGTGAGTTAGCCATGGGAAATGAGGAGTTATAGGGATAGGGTAGAGGGTGTGGGTCTGGGTGGGATGCTCTTTGGAGGGTCAGTGTGGACTTGAAGGGAGAATGGCCTGCTGGCGCACTGTAGGGATTCTATCATACAATGATTCTCAAAAAATGTGTTATACTGAGAGATCTGTTTATGAAATGATCCAAACCCTGTTGTTAAATGTTGCAGCCAAGATGGTTGCTAGTGGATTTGGTAATATTTAATCTCCCTATGTTTCCTGCATATTCTGCATCCAAAAAATGTTGCATGCAACTTGGAAAATAAAAATTGCACTGATATATCACTAGCATGTGAGCTTAACAGCCAGTGGAACAGGCTGAAGTGTTGTTATTATTGTAATGTTCAGAAGTGTAAGCATTTTTTTTGCATAGCAAGTTTCTACATATAATAATCTGTAGATAATTTAACCAGAAAATCTTTTCTCATTCCTCTTTGAGAGATAAATAATTGCCAGGATACTGGGAGGAACTCCCTTCCTACTCCTTCATTAGAGCTGTGGCATCTTTTAAGGGTCCTTCCATTTGATATCCAAAGGATGCACTCCCTTGGTGTTGCTGTGCTGGCGTCTGACTCAAAACTATGATGTTCTGTCTTTTTGGGGAGTGAACTACCAACTTTGTCAAGGCTGACACCTAGTGGTTGGTCTGAAGGAGCTGACCAACAAGTCTGCCACTGAACATAGAACATAGAACGTTACAGCGCAGTACAGGCCCTTCGGCCCTCGATGTTACGCCGACCTGTGAAACCAATCTGAAGCCCATCTAACCTAAACTATTCCATTATCATCCATATGTTTATCCAATGACCATTTAAATGCCCTTAAAGTGGGCGAGTCTACTATTTTTGCAGGCAGGGCATTCCACGCCCTTACTACTCTCTGAGTAAAGAACCTACCTCTGACATCTGTCCTATATCTATCACCCCTCAATTTAAAGCTATGTCCCCTCGTGCTAGCCATCACCATCCGAGGAAAAAGGCTCCCACTGTCCACCCTATCTAATCCTCTGATCATCTTGTATGTCTCTATCAAGTCACCTCTTAACCTTCTTCTCTCTAACGAAAACAGCCTCAAGACCCTCAGCATTGGAGCCCTTTTCTGTGGCACCGTTTGATTCACAACTAAATGTTATATTTTTGAGTTATCTACAAGTTTGTGAAACCTGGGTGGCATGGTAGCTCAGTGTACTGCTGCCTCAGCACCAGACCTGGGTTCGATTCCAGCTTCGGGTGACTGTCTGTGTGGAGTTTAGATATTCTCCCTGTGTCTGCATGGTTTTCCTCCCACAATCCAAAGATGTGCAGGTTCGGACTGGCCATGGGAAATGGTTAAGGGGATAAAGAAGGGGTCTGGGTCTGGGTGGGATGCTCTTCAGAGAGTCAGTGATGGGCTGAATGGCCTCCCCCCACACTGTAGGGATTCGATAATTTAAGGAGGTACTGCAGTGCTCCATTTCTGGGTTAAAGTAACCAGCACCTTTCAGTGTGGGAATTAGTTATATTCCTTGTGCTGACTTTCTGCTTTGGTATGATGTTTCTTGCGGCTAGGCTGGGTTTCGCCAAAGGGCTTTCTTTATAAAGTCTCTCTTTTAACAGGTTAACAGTTTGCCGTTTCTCTAAGAAACCAGGTGGTTTCATAATTGTGGTTTCATGGCTGGCTTTAGAGCAAGAATCAAAATGTCATCAGTTTGAACGTCTCTCTTCAGTTTTCTAATTTTCTCAAACACCCTGCCCCCCTCAATATTGCAATGCTTGTTTGCCTCCAGAGTAACATATATTTGTGCCACACATCTACCAGCCAATAGCCAGCTCTCCCTGGTAGACCATGTCAATACCATTGCTGTATTTGCTCCCCCCCCTCCATATCAACATCCTGGGATTTACTATTGATCAGAAACTGAACTGGTTTAGCTGTATAAATACTGTAGTTGAAAGAGCGTGTCAGAGTCAGGTGACTCTTATTCTGTCTCCCCAGTGCCTGTCCGCAAGTCAGAAGTGTAGTTGAATCCTCTCCATTTGCATGGATATGGGCAACTCGGCAACACCGAAGCTCAACACCGTCCGTGACACAGCCGCCCTCTTGATTGGCACCCCAATGTGCAACCTCCAAATTTCACACTCCCCACTGGTGATGCACAGTAGCAGCAGTGTATGGCATCCTCAAGATTCACTGCAGCAACTCGCAGCAGTGCTTTAGACAGCACCTTCCAAACCAATGACCTTTACCACCTAGCTGGGTAAGGGTCAACAGGTACACGTGAACACCACTGGCCGCAAGTTTTCATCCAAGCCACACATCACCCTGATTTGTGACTATATCTCCGTTCCTTCACTGTCGCTGGGTTAATATTATGGAATTCACTTCCTAACAGCACTCTGGTGTACCTACACTGCATGGGCTGTGGCAGTTCGAGGAGGCAACTTCTTGGGCAATTGTGGGCTGACCTAGCTAATGAACCCCATGTTGCATGGACAAATAAAGAAAGGAAAATACCCTTACACACCACTTTTGTTAAACAGATTTTCAATCTTCAGGTAGTAGTTATTTTAAGTGATTAGGCACAAATGTAGATCATTCTACCACTCTGGCCCATTCCAATGTTCATTTGGCCATGCAATTCCATTTTTGTGACTTTGCTCCATATCCCTTGATACTCTTTCCTAGTAAGGAATCACTGTCAGACTTTAAAAGCTGTAAGTGTTCTTACATTTACCAGCTCTAATTAGGGTGAAGAGGGTGGGGAACATGTTCTAAGTGGAATTTGCTCCTAGATGACCTCATTCAGATTTTAAAATCGTGTCTCCTTGTTATTGACTTTCTCCATCAGAGAAATGGTCTCTATGTATATACTTTGCAAGCACTTATCCAATTATTCTTCAATTGCCTATTCTTGGGGGTGGGGCGGGGGATAAAACACGGATCATATGCAGCCAGTCTGCACAATATAACCCGTCAAACTCCTGGCAATGTTTGGGTGAATTGTGCCTCTGTCAAAGGTGTTCCCAAAATTGAACCTGGATGTCCAGTTGGAGCCTGACCAAGACCCTTACAGATGAAGAATATATCACAGACACACCCAATACAGCACTACCAAGGTTTGGTGTTCCGGTCACTCAAATTGGGCCTGATTCTGGTGAGGTGAAGCACCCTTTCTGCCAAAATTAAAGATGGGACAAGTTATAAATCAGTCAGGCTTTATTTTTCTCCCAACCAGTTTTCACCCAACATTGATTTTGTTGCTAAACCTAGGACAACTGAATAAATGAAGTAAAAGTGCATATAACTGAAGAGCTTTCTTAGTTCATCATTCTGTGAGCTCAGTTCCACTGCTGTGTGTATTTGGATGTTTGCTCATTTTTTGTTTAAAAACTCATTTTCATATTTAACATATACAACTGTACTCATTCATTATTTACTATTTAAATCGTACTTGGCTGAACATTCATCTAGTTTAAAATAACTCATGAAAAATTAATCCTACTTTTCTTTCATTTTCAGTTCAGGCTTCCTGTAGAATCCTTCCCTCCACAAGTCGGGAATGAACTCCCTTTTGCTCCCAGTTGCATTCCACCGCTTATTCCTTTTCCATTCTCATCTCCCCACCTCCCTCCCCCCCCCCCCCCCCCCCCCCCCCCCCCCCCCCCCCCC